TAAATAACCAACTTGACCCATTAGGTCAAAGGATGCTGCTGCAGGTCAAATGCAAATGCATCATGGCGGAAAGTGATTTTCATCGAGAGTTTGCGTACGATCCAACACCTTCGTCAGTGGAGATAATATGACAATTTTGACTTCGACTGTGTTCCAACAGACTCAAATGTTTTTAATTTCATAAATTCTGATGGTACGTAATTAATATTGTAATAAAATGTTCATATTTATTGTGATCATTTTTGTTTCTTCCTTGTGAAAATCAATGACGACTCAACTAATTTCGTAATTTGATTTTCCCTCAAAGACGTAATCTGTCACTTGATGAATCAAATTTTTCATTTGCACTCTTTTTCGAGGGGGGTGCTCGGGTAAGCGCCCACCCCTAAAAAATCGTGATTTTCTGAGTTGAGGCCCCTGGGCGCTAACGCGGTCGAGTACGGTAGTACTATTAACACAGGCATGTAATGGCCTCCCTTCTCCCCTTACAGCCATCCTTTCCTTGCCTTATGCAGACAGAGGTTGAATCAAGGTAATCCAAGTAAAGTATCAATTAATCACAGCATTACCCTACGATAAACTTAAGGCACCTATTATAACACTGGTTACATAATTGGAATGTGCATTTGCATGAAGATCTTCATGCCATAGAGGGTTTAATCAGCTAAACTGTACTTTATACAATGATACCAAAAACTACTGAAGTCTGTGGGTATTTACAACTATTTTTTAGTAAAGTTTGAATAGAGAACAACGAGGATATTCTGTACACAGATGTATTGTTTTTTTGTACATGATGATATCACAAGTCCATCTCAAATTTACAAATGGATGACTGTATTTCTTCCTGGGATTAAATTGAACTACACTTAAACTACACTTAAACTACACTTAAACAATAACTTGTAACCCTTGAACAAGTATATATAATTGTTCGGGTAGTGTCCTGCCTCAGAAAAAATGGCTGGTAACACTGACAAGGGTGAAGGTAATACAATGCTCCCATCATGTGTGACCACTTTATATGCCAGAAGGAAGTGTTCACATAAGACTCCCTCTTCAGGACAAGGGTATATATGTATCAGTCTCGTGGCAAATTGTTTTAACACATCAAATGTCAAGCTAAGTAGCTTGGAAGGAACTACTCATGTATAACGGGGAGGGGGGGGATGAGAAAAGATGCGGAAGAGAGGAAAGATGCGGAAAGGAGGAAAGGGGCAATGTACCTGCCTGCAAAGAAAATATTGGTACTGATAAACACACAAGTGCCATTTTACCAAATGTTAGTACATAAAACTGAATCATCTATCTACTTATGCTACTCTCATGATAACTTCTGGAAATAGTGCTTAGCAAATATTAGAACCTGTACATCTACAATGTAAGCTACTAATTAGAAACGCAGAAATGTCTGAGAATATGCTGCACTTTGTGAGATAATGCTGTCTCATCATACCTTTTGCACCTTATATACAACAAAATAACAAAGTTTGACTGACTACTTTTGAGTTTTGGGAAAATTGCTGATTTTTCCCTGATCTTAGACATTTTTATCAAATTCCCTGACTTTTCCCTGACTGGAAAAATCAAAAATATTTTTCCCTGATTTCCCTGATGGGCTGGGAACCCTGTTTCAGGTCTCCAGAGGGCGCCATTTATTGAATTCCAGTTTCATCCAGTGAACCTAAGGATTTACCGGTACAGGACGACAACTTACCAGGGCTGCCCCACCCCCAACCCCCAAAGGCAAATATGTCAACATTTTGGAACCACGAGTAGCCAGGATTCTTGAAGACTGCCTTTCACCAATGATTTTATGCATCATTTCCCCATAATACTGAGCGTCAAAGGTTTCAATAGTCACATAGACATTTTAATGAAATGACTACTCAACCTTTTTCACATCGCATTTTATGTGACATTAGCCTCACTTATGGTCACTTTGCCCATTTAATTGTGCCTAAAAAAAAATATTTCAGTAAAATTTGGCCAGCCATCTTGTGTGGTTATATTTAAACAAACAATGTTCTAAAATTGCAGTTTTAGCTTTTTCTGAACAAACCTGCAATAAATATATTTTCTATATATTTTTTGATATGACATGCACCTAATGGCACCAATTTTATTTTTAACTAAACATGGCAGCAAGCAGCATCAGAGACAGCGTGGTTTTATCACTTGCCGAGTTCATACCTGATGTTGTTGCTGTTGTTGCTGCTGTTGTTGTTGCTGGTTAAGCAGTAAATGCCTCAATTGCTGATTCGTGGAAGGCATCTGTGGTGTTTGTCCCCGCTGTGGCTGAAATCTCTGTACTTGTTGTCTCTGCACTAGTAACTGTGACTGCCTCAACTGACGCTCCTGTTGCTGCTTTAACTCCATGTCTTTTTTCTGCGCCATTTCTAAAGTTTTTTGGAGAGCTTGTATTTTCCTCTGCAAAAGGGTAAAAATATAATCAATATAGTCGTTCATAAATCCATTTTCACAAAACATGATAAATATTCTCCCAAAATTCTTTACTGTATTTAAATAGACCCCTTTCCGTTTGGTATTAAATGAAACTCTCTATACAAGTGAATGATAAAACTTAAGCTGCATTACGTTTTACTTATTATTATTAGAGAAATACTCCCACCTACCAAGTTAGTTTCCCGTTGAGACTGAATGTTTATGTTGTGTGGCATTCCTGTAGATCCCGGTTGTTGTGGTGTTGGTTGTTGTGATTGTGGTTGCTGCTGCTGTTGTTGTTGTTGTTGAGAAGGAATACTTGATGACAAAACACTTGCAGACCCTTGGGAAGGTAGTGTCATGTTCTGCATGGAAGCTCCAGTAGCCGCTCCACCCCCAATGTGTTGTAATGGTTGTTGCCCAGCTGATGAAGATGCCAGTGTTTGCTGTGTATACTGCAATGCCGTTACTGAACCCGATGTCTGTGCTTGTGCTTGCGCTTGAGCCTGTGCCTGCAAGTGTTGCTGCTGCTGATGTAACTGTGGAAATGGCAAACAGAAAATCTAGTAAACTGTGTCCTTCAATATCTCTTGTTGCATCGTTTGCTATGTTAGTTTAAACTGATTTGTTTAAATTGCTGGAACACAGAACAAAGGCAATCATATGTCACTAGCCACCATACTAACAACAACTCTGACAGATCCAGAAAACTTGTGTAATGTTATTCGTTTGATGCAGGCTACCTGTAGTAGATGCAGCAAAATTGTAAAATGAGGATATGATAAAGATGTGGAAATGAGGAAAGATGCGGAAAGGACGAAAGATGCGGAAAGGAGGAAAGATGCGGAAATGAGCGGAGATGCGGAAATGAGGAAAGATGCGGAAATGAGGAAAGATGCAGAAATGAGGAAAGATGCTGCAATGAGGAAAGATGCTGCAATGAGGAAAGATGCTGCAATGAGGAAAGATGCTGCAATGAGGAAAGATGCTGCAATGATGAAAGATGCTGCAATGATGGAGGAGTTACAGAAATATGCATTTGGTTTCAGTGTTTACAAAATGATTCAGTTTATAATGAAATACATTGGTGTACAGGCTGGGCTTTAACACTGCAGTGCTACCCTATTCCCAAAATTGTTGTGAAGAAAATGTATGCTAGCCAGAGAAACTAAATAATTTGATTTTGTGTAATCTCTGCTATGTCCACTCAAGAAATGACACTTTCTCTTTGTTTTCTGGGACGTAAAGACCAATTTTGACTGATTAGTTTGTAGCTAAAAGACTGCCTAAAACTTCTGAATAGAAGTTTATCGTTTGAATTCAGGGTCACCATTACCATTTGTTCCAATTGTACATGCCAAACTTGCTGCAAATCAGTTAGCTAGGTTTGCTAATTAGGTAGCAAATTCGAATAGCCATTTTGCCAAACTTGATAGCTAAACTGTAGTTCCAAGCACATTTAACCCAGTAATTGTCCTCACCTTCTGTAACTGTAATTCTGCTGCATGTTTCTGTTGTTGTTTGTTCTTATGATTCGTTATCACTGTACGGATACCATTAACAAAACTGGGTTGATCGTTTGGTATGAGTCCGATGAATTGACGCTTCTTTTGAATATACAGTAACATCAATACTCGAACATCACATTGCTGAGGTGAGTTGAAATGTACACATCCCGCCTATAAAATAACAAGATGTACCGGTACAACCACCATGCAGTGTAATGTAATGTAACGTAATGACTTAAACTCGTGTAAACATGTTTTTACGAAACATCCTAGGATTTTTTATTAACTTTTTCACCACCAGTTCCCTCTTTTCTTCACAAATTCACAAAATAGTCCTGTTATAGTCTGTTCTTTTCTTCAGAAAATTGGGACAAAAATAGACAAATTTGTTTAGTTTGCACCCAAAGGGTTTTTTATAACAATTATCTGACATCTTGTTTTCTGTTAAATTAGTTTATATATTTTATTGGTATGTTTGCAACTGTTGGACTGTGGAACAATCCAATCCATGAGTTGATTGAAACCCAGTCTAGTATTCCCATGGGATTTGAGAGGTACATGTACATTACCAATGATATTGACTACAAGATAAATGATATTCCTTCATTAAACACATACACCCATATCCCCACGGGGACCAGTGACCTCTGAATGTTTATCACCAGTAATCAGTCAAGTAGAAACAGTTAAAATTTTGACTACTACTTTTTCAATATTTGCATGATAATTTCACACATTTTGCACTAAAGGGAAAAATTTATTACAGATGAATTAGATGACTAGTTTGATATAGTTTAGAATAGAATGAGTAAAGTTATTGTGCACACAATAACTATTAACAACAACAACAACAACAGACATTTTCCCCTTAATATACCTTTCACTTTCATCTCTAATGATATGGGCAAGGTAAAAAGTGCAGAAAAATTTGGGCAAGAATGTCTGGTGGTGAAATGGTTAATTCACAAAATTTTTCGCGAAAATTGCACAATCTGCTGAATTACAAACTCATTACAAATTCATTAACCTTTACATAAAAGAAAAACATAAGTTTAAAAGGTTTTGAATATCTGCAAAAAATTCTAGTACTTACAAATCCTCCAACCATTATCCTATAAAGAGATTTCAATGATTCTTGGTCGCTTGGTGAAAACTGAAATATTACTGATCGAGAGTTGCGAAATAATGTTCCAAGCGAATGCTGTAAAAACAAAACAAATACACAGTCTTAACATTACTTGTCAGTGAAAAGTAACACATCAAGGTGAATCATCTGCCACCGAATAGTATATTTTAATTACAGCCAATGCAATAGATAAAATAATAAAACAAGGCTTCCACCGGCACAGTTGAATTGTCACAAAGCAGACCAACAATGAGAATATGATTATATTGATTAATAATTCTAATCGAAACATGTTTGACTTCTTATATTTTTATAGGAATATGAGGTTATTACGAGGATAACGCAAAATATGCGTAAAGACAGTACAGTGGGAGTAATGATGCGACGGCGTACTGTCTAAGTGCATACTTTGCAATATTCTCGTAGTAACCTTATTATTATACATAATTACTTCTCAAGGATACATTATGGGAATGCCAAAATCCAAAAAGTTTAGAACAGATTTAGCCAACTTTTTTTTTGTGTGTGTGTGGGGGGGGGGGCAAACTTTGTGCAAGAGGTTGCCATGTTTGTTTTTATTATTAGAGGATGTTTATACGCGTAGTTGTTCATTATTGGAATCTATATCTCCTAATATAGTAAGATGCAAATACCCAGTGCAATACCGCCAAATTACAGCACGTTATAACTTATGGGGTTAACGGTGACAGATGTATAATGAAAATACCTAATTTAAGGTTTATTGATTTATTATTTATTGCACCAGATCTGGTAAAAGAAGAGCAATGCGTATCAAACATGTATAATATTACACTCACCAACAGTGGCTGGGGGATCAGCTGCATCACTAGTTTATTAGGCCACTTATCTGCCTGTAAATTATCAGCCTGACTGGCAATAACATTGCAAGCAACTGATCGTGTAACTCTAGCTGAGGGGTCCTGGGAAGCTCCTCTAGGTTTCTGCAAAAAAGATGAAAAAAATTAAATGCGTTTTTTTTATACAATCATAACCTTAGCCTTTGAACCAAAATGACAAATTAGTGATTTTGTTGAAACTGAAGACATTTTTTTGTTTTTACCTCTTGCCATTCCAAGTCGCCCCTCCAAACTATACTCCGCGGTGGTTGTGTCTGTGCATCTTGCTGTGGTCGAACTGATTGTATTTGAGTTGCTGTTGTTTGATTTATTGAACCAGACATTGTACCGATTTGATCTGCTATCTGCTGTAAATAAAACAAAATAGTATCCATGGTCAATAAGTAAAATGCAAGACTAGATCACAACTGTTATTTAAAGTTCCTAACAGCATCAAGCATGTTAAAAAAAAGTAAACGCATTTCACAACCATTTAATTATCAAGTTCTCTTTGTGTGACAAACTTCTCAGACATGCACTTTAATACTGATGCACTCGCAAATCAACAGCTTCAAGGCATGGTGACTGTAAAATGACTAATTTTCACTGGGATTAAATTTCGCTGA